CCACGGCATCATGCCTTAAACGAAATCATCCGTCAGGCGCTTGTTTCAGCAAATATTCCATGCGTACTGGAACCTCCAGGCCTCAGTCGATCAGATGGGAAAAGGCCCGACGGAATGTCTCTGGTGTCGTGGGAGAGGGGTAGATATCTCCTGTGGAATGCAACATGTGTTAGCACTTTTACAGCTTCTCATCTCAGTGGCACAGTAACTTCAGCTTGTGCAGCTGCTGAGTCCGCTGCCCGCAAGAAACGAGACAAATATCGTGACTTGGTAAGTTGCTACATTTTCGTTCCGCTTGCTGTTGAGACGGCGGGTTCTTGGGGTACCGATGCGAAAAAGTTTATAGCGAAAATCGGGTGACGGCTAAGAGAGAGTGGAGATGACTCTCGCGCCGGGTTGTTCTTGGCGCAAAGATTGTCCATTGCCATACAGCAAGGAAATGCGGCAAGCGTGATGGGCACCTTTGCGCCGGGATCAGTCAAGGGCGGGCTATATGACGAGTGTGAGCACTGAGTTATGTAATTTGTAATTTCTTGATTTCTTTAAATTATTTGTTATTCATGACTATACCATGTATTAAAAGTAAACTTGACCTAAACTTTGTAAGTAGGTATTAAATTATAAAATTATTCTTAAAAAAAAATTACAAACTCACCTTATTAATTTCAATGATAATGACTAGACATGACATCTAATATTGTTGTACGACAATTTGTAAAGTATGATTGAAAAGTTGCCGATGTTACAAAACAACGTAGTAAGTATAATCAATAATAAATTAATAAAATAAATAATTATTCTAATTTTTGCTTGCTTGAACGCTCTCAGGATAGTACATCTGTCTATTTCTTTTTATGATTTAGTATGTAGTTCCATCTCGCTCTTGTTAGATGTCAGCTAGCCAGTAAGAGACAATAATTAACGTTTGAAAAGTAAAACTCATCATCCAGCCATGCCGATCCCGTTTAACTTTGTGTAGGTCATCATACGAATTGGACATGGAACATGGCTGGATGCTTATAAGCTCATAGTAGGTCTCCTGTATATATATTTTATATACCTCCGAATCCAGAAGCAACCGCGCTCCAACAAGGCTACCATAAATAAATAAATAACGTACACATAGACAACCACAAATTACACCCAAACTCACGAGAGAAATAATTGTATTCATTCATGGCCATTCAGCTATTTCTCCCGGCCCGGGAATCGAACCTGGGACCTCTGCGTGGCAGTCCGGCAAGGTAACCGTTCGGCCACGCAGGCAGTTTAAATGGTTTCCTGGTTTCCTGTTACAATTTTCAAATTATTCGTTACAAATAAATGCAGGTGAGTGATTATCATTAGTTAACAGACTTCAAAAAAGATGGAGCTTCTCAATTCGGCTGTATGTTTTTTTTGCATGTATGTTACGCAATAACTAAATTTGTGAACCGATTTTGATGATTCTTTTTTTGTTGGAAAGAGGGTACCTCAGTAGTGATTCCATTTAAATTTGAAGAAAATATTTCACTTTTACGGGTGGCAAAGGGGAATGAAAGACTTTTGAGGTTTTTTAGTACTCTGTACTGAGATTATTATTTTGATTATTAATTACTATTTTTCTCTCTGACTAGTGTGTTTATTGAATCTTAGAGCGCTTACACACGGCGACTTTTTACATTTGACTTTTCATAACTAAATTAAACGATATTTCTAACAAAATTAAGATATTAACATATCATCGAAATCGGATCAGCGAAATGAACTCTACAATCCCCTATAACACGTTTTCTGGGGGTTGCAGGTACAGGTTTCATCATTCATGTTTTCCTTTACCGCTTAAAGCTCATGGTAAATTTTAGATAAAATTTCACGTACAAATTCGAAAGTCAGAGATGCGAGAGATTCGAACCCAAGGTCTCTGCTTTAAAAGCGGTTGGTCAAACCATTAGGCTACCAAGCACGGCTTAAGTCAAAACACATTAGACAATTATAATAATCATATCACGACCTACATACTCATACCAACGGGACGATCGAAACCCTCCTCAATACAGAAATGGGATTAATGACTGGGGATTTATCTGCGCAACAGACGTTGTTTAATCAATCCATTACATTGTATACGGAATTCAAACACGTTCTGCTGTTGGCTCACATCGAGTCAACAAGCATATTGAGTGTTCGGGTTCGATGCGAATGGCGATTGCATAGAAAAAATAAATTAGGCAATGATCGAAACTGGATGTGAAAAAAATGGTTTGTTAGAATATTGGAGTGATTAATGAATAGATAGATATCTATATAAATAATATTTGGATTGGAGTTTGTTTACAACAGATTCTCATTTACAGAATATCAATTTGGGATACAATTCATCTCACTGCCACTCACTCTTGTCTTTAGGTGACGGTAGAGGTTCCCGTCAGTTCTTTGCCATTCCAAGTTCTAAGTGACATTACAACTGCTATGGACAGGTGTGTTGCTTGCCACTAGAAGCACGACTTGTTAGTCCCGTCACTTGGTATTATAAAACAGGTTTCTTTTAATATGTGCCAAAATTATGCCAAAATTTTAAACAATTATAGCCTCAATTTTTTTATATAGTTTACGATTAAAAAACTTTAGATACATTGATAAAACGATTGGTAAAAGTCAGAAAAGGAACGTGTTATTTATTATGTTACAGTCTTTTTATTTAAAAAAGATATGCGCATTTGACCTTCATTCCACCTGATGGAAAGTGACTATGAAGTCGACGATCATGCACACCTAAATTACTCTCGTCTTGAAAAGGCCCGAGTTATATAGAAAAGTGTGCAGATGGGGAATTCCACTTCATTGCCATTCGCCTTATAAATTATACCTATTTGTCTAAACTTTAACCGAACTAATATTGTAATAATCTGAATAAAAAATATAGAATTCTCAGTACTATGAGTAACAGAGAACCCCCAATTCCAGAATAAATTTAGTTAAGTTCATTTCTCAAATTGGTCCTATATGGAATCGAATCTAGAATCCTGCGCCCAAAGTTTTTTCGTTGTCTGTTCAAATTTATCGTTGCCTCTAGAAAACATTTCCGCCATCCAATTTCCAGTAAAGCAAGTTTAAAAAGTCTTACCACTAACACTAACGCCCATGTTATGAGCCTGGAACCCAAGGACGGAGAATATAACCAAGCCGGCGTAAATCGAGGTGAGAAAATTCGCCGCACTGACAAATACCGCATCGAAGTGGCAGTTATTGTAGAAGTTACTATATGAAGCCAATGTCACCAAAGATCCACATGCCAAACCGAACGAGTAGAAAATCTGTTGGAAATAATTTCAAGTTAACCCATCACGCGTTATATTGTCTACAACGATTTTGATGCTGTAGCTTCCTTGAGCCACACAGCTGTTTCTTATCATAACTAACGTAATCGACATTTTTAGCGAAATTAAGTTATTAACATATCTACAACCTTTTTTAATGTCATATTTAGTTTCAGTTTTATTGTCAAAGTAATATCAGCGTAATCGTCATTTTTTTAGGTAACAATAGAATTTTAGGTGCCAACATCTCGAAAGTTACCGAAATCCAAATGCGTTAATTATGACATGCAGGGCAGACCATGTCCGCGCAGGTATTTACATTATAAACTTTACACATGTTTATACAACCGACTCTTGGGTAGTGCCAGGAGTAGGCTGGGATCACAGTTACACGACAGAGTCGAAAATTCTGTTTAACTACTGGACTACGTTACTTCATTTCAATTTACACTGCATTCAAAACATAAATGTAAATGGATTACCTTTGGTATAATAAAACCACACGGGATCGTATGTCAAAAGTGCTTTTATCACACGATAAAATAAATATAAAACGAACTACATGAAATAAATTATGTGCAATTTCATAATGCTTCTATTTAATCATAAAAAGTTGTCGATTAATTCCGTTCCTAGAATTTTTAACCTCTCTCCTGAAAATTATTACACTTACATTTAACGTATGCAATCATCAAACACTATATATTTCTGAAAGTTGCAATAGCACCAACGAACCTGAGATGCGGCATCGCCCCAGACTTTAGCGGTTGCAAGAAGCTCCCAATCTGGTACTACAAAGAACAAAATGCCTTCTACAGCTCCTTCCAAAGTGACTCCTCTGATCAACAAAGCAGTCAACATTACGTAGGGGAATAATGCAGTGAAATACACCACCTTGCCTGCTGATTGAACACCCTGAATGACAATACAAAAAATATTTATTAATGCGTCTAGAACTTGATTTCAACGAAGAACCAAAAGTATTAAAAATGTTACCAAAAAATTTGTGTGCAGGATGTCTGTGAAGTTGACCCAAAAATTAAAAAGGGGCAACAATGACATCAAAATTAATAACTTTCATTGAATATTATATAAAGTGTAATATATATTTTTACAGTTTTGGCGTCGACTATAAATAACTTTACACACAATATTCGAAACTATCCTCATAACTTTATAACCTGAATCGTGTAACAGGAAGTAGGTTGAAACGAATTCAGGAAATTTGTTATAAATAAAATACACAGTTAAATAAAAAGTATATGCAAAAATAAAAATAAAATTAAGAATGATACCTTAATGACACAACAGAACGCAATAAGCCATGAAAGAAATAAAGTGCCGACCAAATGCCATTGAATTGATCCCCAATTTTCCCAAGTAGCATCGCCTCTGCCAAGAACGCGTTCACTGAAACATGGACTTTCTTAAAAACAGTTGTCACTTCTCATTCTAATATTCAATGTTGTCCTTATTATAGTTAACGAAATGGAAATGTTATTCCATCACGCCGTAAAGACTAATGACATAATACACTAACTCAATTCCGTTTTGCAAAGCACTGCATATGAAAACCAGTAAATGGTAGAAAATAGTGAAGTTGTGTGTTTGTGTTTTGAAATAGACATGAATTATTATAAACGAAATAAACGATGCCTTTGATTTATTGGAAACGAAAAACAAGTGGCCTTTTGGCACTGTTGTTGCAATCAATCAATCAATCATGTTTATTCGAATAAAAAAATAATCTATCATTGTACACGTCTTTGCATTCATAATTACTGACGCTTTTTCATATATTTTGTGAAGCAATAGTACTACAGAAAGATATTTCACATATTTGAAGTTTTCACTGACCCAACGGTTTACACTGTCCCGGGTTCGATTCCCTGTAGGATGCACATGGGAAATGAAATAATAATAAATAAATTGGTTCTGGTACGGATGTTCCGAGTAGAGTCCTGAGGCGAGATCCGATACTCTGATACTCATAGTACATGGAACTTTCTATTTTGAGACTAATTAATCGGTGTGGTTGTCTGGCACGTTACTGTTCTTATTATATACAGGCAAGATTCGTACTAATGAAAACCAAATGGTTCAGATTTGATTAAAACTAATATACCACAATAGCGTAATATAATAAGACAATTAAGGTAACTAACTCCATTCACACGTATACTTTTAAGTAGCAGTAGACCTCCTTGTGAAAGAGTTCGTCCAGGGAAGTACTGTCACCTTACCTATTTCAGCCGCTAACCAGTGATGTGATATGTCTTAGGGTGATGGGGACAGTGACAGTGCCCCTCAGATCTTTGCGATTTAAAGCTCTGAGTGGCACTGCAACACTTATGGACAGGCGTGTCGCTTATCGTCAGGCGCACGACTTGTTCATCCCATCATCTAGTATCATTAAAAAAGGCTTATAATATGTGCATACTAATGAAAGGCGCGTGGAATGACCTGCGCTATACAACGCGAGTTCATTGCGAATTATGTTAATGTATACGTCCGCGTCCGTACACGGCACATGGCGGGAACGCACACATACAAACTGCGCTACTACGTTTGTATGGAGTTACATACTTGTCTTATTATGGTAACTCTGTACAAACGCTGAAGAAAATTATAATTTAAATTTATGAATGAAAAAGTCGTTTAGACATGCAGCATTCAAATTATTTCGCCAGGATGTTGACTATCTAAACAAGTCAACTTTATTTTTGGTCTTGGTTTCTGTTTCTTTTGTAAACAGCCATACTTATTTACTCGTATTATGATCATTGAATTTCCACATATATCTTCCCTGGCCAGCAGATTAAGCTCCGCTGCATACGCAGTCCGCAGAATACGTGAGCTTACCGATGTTAGTACTGCTAGACTAGCTTACTTTAGTTACTTCCATAGTATAATGTCCTACGGGATTCTCGTGTGGGGTAAAGCGGCAGATATTCAAACCATATTTGTATTGCAAAAACGAGCGATTCGTTCTGTGTACCGTCTAGGCTCTCGGGTTTCTCTCAGAGAAAAGTTTAAGGAGACTGATATCATGACTGTGGCATCACAGTACATTTACTCAAATATTTTATATGCCCGTAAAAATATACATAATCAATAAGAAAGAAGATATCCATAATATTAACCTTAGAGCTAAATCCAAACTCATGGTACCACGATTTCGTTTAACCAAGGTAAACAACTCTTTTATGGGGAACTGTATACGTTTTTACATTAAGATTCCGGAGCATATATTAAGTTTATCATTTCCTATAACACTCTTAAAATTAATTCTGCTACAAATAAATCAAAGGTTACATGGGAGTTAATAGATACATGTAGGCAAAATGTACCCAGGGAATCAATTACACAAATAAAAGTAAACGACACTATTATTACGAATCCATCACTCATTACAAATGCCTTTAACGACTTTTTTATTCACAAGACTCTACCAATTACAAAAAAATCAGCACACAATCAAAAAAAAATTCGACAAAAACTGTTTCTCTATGTTTATGGCACCTTGCATACCATATGATATTGTAAAAATTATAAAATCACTTAAAAATACTAGAAGCGTTGGATATGACGAAATATGTACAAAGGTTTTGAAGTCAGTTGCAGAAGAAATAAAGAATCAATTATGCTATATCCTAAATATGTGTATAAATCAAGGTATCTATCCGGATGACTTAAAAACAGTCATAGTCAAACCACTTTACAAAAAAGATGATAGGGAAGTCATGAAGAACTATAGGCCCATATCATTGTTGTCAGTCATATCAAAAATATTTGAAAAATACATAAGTTCACAATTACAAATATTTTTAGAAAAATATAATATATTAGCGCGTGAGCAAAAAGGTTTTAGACCAAAAAAGAATACAAACATGGCTATATATGATTTTATGCAGGAAGTTATATCAAGTGTAGATGAAAATACGCCAGTCTGCTCTATTTTTTGCGACATGACTCAAGCGTTTGATCATGTAGAGCACTAAATACTTTTAGGAAAATTAGAAACCTATGGTATAAGAGGTAATATTCTTAAACTAATTTCATCGTATCTTAATAATCGAAAACAAATCACTGAAATCAGCAACATAAATATCCGTACCAAAACCGAATGTGTCCTTAGATCTTGTAGTAAAACAATTATGTACGGTGTTCCGCAAGGTAGCGTCTTGGGCCCATTGCTATTCATTTTGTACATAAATGATCTACCTAAAGTTGTACCGAATCACCACGTTTCTCTCTTTGGCGATGACAGTACAATAACAATTAAGTGTAAAAATAAAATTACTTATGAACAAGACATTAACGAAGCAGTAGAGTCCATTATAACTTGGTTAAAAGAAAATAACCTCAGTATTAATTTTGAAAAAACTAAAGTAATGCATTACAGTCAGCGACAGAATAATAATAACGTCAATGTTAGTTATGACAACATAAGTATAGGCCAAGTAACCGAGACTAGATTTTTGGGTGTAATTGTAGACAATAAGTTGACATGGAAAACACATATTCAAAACCTATGTAAAAAATTAAGCATTTCTTCCTATGCCTTATACAGATTGGCTCATATAATTGACATTAACTCATTATTGACGGCTTATTATGGTATAGTGGCTTCACGTTTAAGCTATGGGATTATTTTTTGGGGTAATTCTACAGATCGGGATTTAGTATTTAAAGCACAAAAGAAATGTATAAGAGCTATATTTAGCATTTCTCGCTTGGACAGCTGTTTGCCCTATTTTAAAAAGTATAATATACTAACGGTGCCATCATTGTATATTCTAGAATCAGTATTATTTGTCAAAACAAACCCTAATCTGTTCAACAAACTTGTGGAAGTAAGACGTAGGAATAGAAGAGATAATGATGCAGTATCTATGATGCCACATAAAACTGCATTTATGTCAAAAAGTGTCCTCTGTATGCTGCCAAGATTATATAATAGAGTCCCAAAATCTATCCGTGAATTACATGTAGATTTGTTTAAGAAAAAATGTAAGCAGTATTTAATTGATAAATGTTTTTATAATATAAATGATTATATGAATACGAGATGGATTTAGGGCCCAATTATAATTGTTTTTATATCTAGTAAGATTACATAAGATTACAGATGTATTTGACTAATTTATGTTATTATTGACTTTCATTCATGACATGCGCATATTTTATGGAAGCTTAGAAATGTAAATTATGTAAGTTTGACATTAACATGATTTTTCGCTTTATTTTTGACATTGTTAATTTTTACTAATTTTTATTATATTTTTTCTTTACATATTTACTAGTTTTTGACAGTTTTTAATTATAATATTTTGTACATTATGCGACCACCACTAATTATATTTGTATGTTTCGACGAAACTGGTTGTAGTAGCACTGTTAATGTATTGAACTGATCTGATGAACTTATACAGGTAGGTACACCTACTTCCACAAATAAATCGATCTTTATCTTTATCTTTATCTTTATCTTTATCTTTATCTTTATCTT